TGTTGAGGTAGTGGCACAATGGGCAGGACTTTTGGTTATGCTTGGTGCACAGAATGGTATGGGTTGGTGGTTGTTGGCTGGACTGTGATTCGTCTGCCTGATCTCTAAGGAGGTATCATCCCAAGCTTAGGAAGTCTTCCAATATAGAAATGGAACTTTGAATGCGCCAATTTCTACATAGACTGTGTACACGTCTTGACACTTTGAGATCAGGCTAAAGAATGTTTTTTTTTTTTTTGCAAAATCAAACTAGCGTCTCTAGGAAAGAAGTCCCTTGTATTCCTACCTAAGGAGTAAACCGGTTTACATGAATTTCTAAATAAAATACCAGAATTCGCCAACCTAGAGTTGCAAATTTGAAAATGAAGATTTATCAAAGCAACTAGTGGGTCTAGAAATTATTATTTTACTAGATAAAGGTATAGATCAATATAAGGGACTATATACCTTTCCGGACGGGTTCAAGTTTGAAATTTGACTGAGCGCGAGGGAAATCAAAGTCGCGACTCGTCCATTGTGTAGGGTTGGCTGCTCACCTCACAACATCTATAGTGTATTGGCGCTTCATGCGATTGCTGGCCTTGATATGGTTTGATCACATTTATTGTGACTTTAATCAATAAATGTGGAAATGCTACTTTCGCTCTTTTCATTTTAAACATACGTGTGTATGATGTCTATACATAATAACTCTTTATCTTTACTGTGAAACACAGCTGGGGGCTTTTAAAATTGTGGGTTGGTCTTTAAATACATATTTCCCGGGTGTCCACATTTTCTATTGCAGCGGGTCTCTGGTTCCCACAACAGGATATTATTGTCTGCTCTGTTGTTTTAACAACATCCTGAGATAAAACCCTTAGATAAACTATAATCGAGCCACGATAGCAGTTCTGGCATTCCTGAGTTACGGAGTGTTTGGTTTAAGTTTTTTCTTTCCCCAACAAGACCAGTCACATTTGTCGATCTAATTTCTCGTGACACCAAGAGTAAGTAAGTAAGTAAAGTAAAGGACCCTCTTCCACGCGTACAAGGCATATAGGGCTAGACCTAAATTTTTATAGACCATTCGGCACAAGATGGGTGATGTGGTCAGCATCACGCCGGTCGCCTTTACTTCCCATGACTGCACCCGGTACCCACTCAAGGCTGTGATTTAAGTTTGAAAGAAACAGAGACAAATATGTATGTGGCGATACGTAAAAATGTTCATTGTTCTCAAGCACCAATAATAACAACAAAATCGTGTGCAAGTGAAAGATATACAAACGTTTTAGACTTTTAGGAGACTGTTGTGTTGCTGCTGGTTTCAACTATAAAGTGATAGTCATCATAATAATTCAGCATCTAAAGGCGTTGACTGGTTGACGTTTTACCTAACCATGACATCACACTAAGCGATAAACACCCGGTGCTACAAAGTGCCACCATTCGCATGAGGATCACCCAGGAGATTGTTGTTGTTATTGTTGTTTTAAAACAGCACCCTGTCTGTTGCGGGGGCTTTTATACAACACAGCCTATGGGTTGATCGGGGTTTTGTCGCGCGCCCACGTGGGTAAATACACTGATATAGTGAGGGTGTGGGTTTGAACCTTAACAATGCCCACCCACGTGAGAAACTGGACTAATATCTAAGCTATGTTGATCCTAGACAGTCCTGGATAGCCAAGAAAACAGCGAGTGGCTCGTTCCATGAAATGAAAGTTGCTGTACTTGTATCCACAGGAGAAGGAGAAGGTATAGATAGATATCAGGATAAACCCACTGTGATATAATCCAGATACACAGTTAACCCCTCCGACTTTTCTCCTCTCCTGGCATTACCTAAAAGCCTCCATCAAGTGATTTAAATATTTGTTAGCTGAAGTAAACTAATATGCACAAAGACACTTGAACCTAAGTACACAATTTACTCAACTATTTTGTAACAACATCAAACATGATTTATTTGAATAAATCGAAATTGAAATGAACTTGTTAAGGCTATTAGAGTTGAGGTGATGTTGATAATGAAATTATATATTGGAAAGTAACAACCTTTGGACAGTTCTCGGCTTGAGACCCTGCCTATTCTTTTCCAGTTTGTCGTCCTCACTGCTTTCAAGCAGTCGTTACACTCAGACTGTCGGCAAAGAATGGATGCCTACTAGTCCCTGCCCAATGTGGGAACTGTGATAAAGAAACAAACGCATATCTGTAGTATCTGCTCTAGGTGTACACTAAGCATGTGTATTATAATAACATCAAGAATGTTTATTTAAATAAAACATTTCATCTCTCCCTCATGTTCACATTCACTCCTGTCCAATTTGGAAGGGCTTATGTCTCACATTCCAGCTGTTACATCTTCTGCCTTCCTCTACACAAGTCCTGTAATGATAGTCAAGTCTTCTACGTTAGATGCCATCTCTCGTACAGACTCAAATGACAATCAGTCAGACCGAACAAGTTCTGAAATCCGTGCTTGGAACAATGGACGCGCCCAGAAAGCTAACAATATTTCTGAGGCGAATCAAATAAGAAATCTCAGGGATTTACTCTCCGGGATCAATCTCCGCATTAGCTTCCCTGGAGTTCAACACATTTCAGTGTGTTAGCTGTATGTAATACAGATTCACATTAACCATACGTGAAAAGATTGCCAACGTTATCTTCACGCTTGTGATTTCAAGAACGTGATAGTTCAATAAATTTCAATGGTAACATCAACATTTAAGTTTTACAACATTGAAACACATGTGCACGAAAAACATTCATGACACTATCAAAAAGGATATAAAGCAATGTGACAGTGCCCTAAGAGAATTAAGAAATGTCCGTCTAGGGGTACTACAAAGTGATGAAGACACACACTTGAGTAAAAAGACAGTTAGATCTCTATCAGGAAATTAAGGTTTTCAAACTAGTTTTTCTTACCTGGAGAATGAAACCACAATGCCAAAAGTTCTGTCTCAAGCTTAGGTTAAGCCCAACAGATGGCATGTGCTGGACAGAGTCTCATTTACCAGACCTAGAGTTCACCCCTTTATAACTTTTTATAAGCTCCTCATACATTACCCCTAAAATCATTCTCATTCAAGGATGTCACAGCTCCTCCCCGTGGGTGTCTATTCGCTGTCAGTCAGGGCTGTACAATACTTGTTTGAATTCCCACGGTCACATTCTCCAGGTTCAATTAAGCTGGTCAAAGCTAATAGGCCAAGTCACACCTCCAGTCTACTTCACCTGTCAAGTTGTTTGCTAACAACTCCACTCGACCATGTCAATAGTGACCGTCTGACTTGCCTTCAAGTTAGGTAACCTCAGGGGGAGATAAACACAATCAGCCTGTGTTATCTGCTCCTAAATGTCGGGCTAGGAGATAAATATCTGACACCAACAGATGGTGTGCAAATCTGCAGACAGTAAGTCTAAGCTTGGTCAGTCTTATCTCTGTACCTCAACACTTAACGTCTGGGAAAAGTTTTAGTGTTTGATATCACCAACAGTCCAGGAGAATTAAATGTTTGTTCTGGTCGCCTTACTTAGATTAAGGATGTATCCAAAACCATATTATTTCTGTATACTTTGAAATACATAGAAATAAAAGTCCGTTGAGGAAAGACATTCTGAAGTCACCGAGCGTATCGTCACAATAGTCATCATAATAAGTCAGCATCTAAAGGCGTTGACTGGTTGACGTTTTACCTAACCATGACATCACACTGAGCGATAAACACCCGGTGCTACAAAGTGCCACCATTCGCATGAGGATCACCCAGGAGATAGATCCTAGAAACCCCGATCAACCCATTGGCTGGGTTGTATAAAAGCCCCCGCAACAGACCGACTGGTGCTTTAAAACAACAATAACAACAACAAAACACATTCTACATTGGGATGTATTGTCACTGTACATAATTTTAAAGGTGTTAGCTAACAATTTTGATAATTATTTCTCTGAAAATGAAGATCTTTGTATAGACAACTTTGTCATTTGTAATCCCTTCTTGCAAGAAATTAAATTATGCGCATACTAAAAAAAAGTTACTTGCGTATTCTTTACAGGCCGTTGCAAAAACAAAGCCAGCATGTTTTGGCTGTTATGGTTTTTCTAATTTACATTGGGTAGTTTGCCATTGCTTTCTGGACGGTCGGCTTCTCGGTACTACTTTAGAATGCAACGCAAGGCGCAGGGCCAGCAGCTGGGATCGGACCCGGCACCCCGGCATTACAAAGATGCAGACACTATTATCGTGAAAAAGAAAACCTGATCGAACTGTCTTCTGATGACTGGCTGACGTTCAACTCCACTAGGACCGCATTAGGAGCGACAAACACGCGGTGACACAAAGTGCCACCATTCTAATGAGAATCAATTTAACGAAAGTTCCCGAAACCCATTTCAACTGTTGGGTAAGGTTTTATTTAGGGCCCCAGATGACATCCGTGGTGGTCCCATATTGGGAGGGGATCTCTCCTAATGTCACTATTGGGTCCTGGCATAACACGCGATCATTGTATACGTTTTGATTATCAGATGACGAAGAACATTAGTCTCTGTGTTACAAAGATATAAGAATGTTGGCATTTTTTAAAATTTGACTTGATGTGACAAAACTTGCCGAGCAACGTCAGTAATTAAAACCAAACAGTAAGAAAACAACTTATGTTATTGTAGCGCTCTATCTATAAGAAACAACGCTCGCTCTAGCCACACATTTAAGATATCCATAATTTAAGCAGCAGCAGTTCTCATTACCCCTAAACTTTTTTTTTTTTTACATCGATCTCGACGAATAAATTACTGTCTACATTTGTTTTTGTTTCAGCTTTTTGTTAGCTGTAAGGCCAGCCGCGAAACAATTTCCACTGTTGTTGTGGGCCGAGGAACAATTTCCACTGTTGTTGTCGGCCGCCGAACAATTTCCACTGTTGTTGTGGGCCGAGGAACAATTTCCACTGTTGTTGTGGGCCGAGGAACAATTTCCACTGTTGTTGTCGGCTGCGGAACAATTTCAAGTTGTGGGCCGCGGAACAATTTTCACTGTTGTTGTGGGTCGTGGAACAATTTCCACTGTTGTTGTGGGTCGTGGAACAAATTCCACTGTTGTTGTGGGTCGTGGAACAATTGCCACTGTTGTTGTGGATCGCGGAACAATTTCCACTATTGTTGTGGGCCGAGGAACAATTTCCACAGTTGTTGTGGATCGAGGAACAATTTCCACTGTTGTTGTGGGTCGTGGAACAATTTCCACTGTTGTTGTGGGTCGTGGAACAAATTCCACTGTTGTTGTGGATCGTGGGACAATTTCCACTGTTGCTGTGGGTCGTGGAACAATATCCACTGTTGTTGTGGGTCGTGGAACAATTTCCACTGTTTTTGTAAATCGTGGAACAATTTCCACTGTTGTTGTGGGCCGAGGAACAATTTCCTCTGTTGTTGTGGGCCGAGGAACAATTTCCACAGTTGTTGTGGATCGAGGAACAATTTCCACTGTTGTTGTGGGTCGTGGAACAAATTCCACTGTTGTTGTGGGTCGTGGAACAAATTCCACTGTTGTTGTGGGTCGTGGAACAAATTCCTCTGTTGTTGTGGGTCGTGGAACAATTGCCACTGTTGTTGTGGATCGCGGAACAATTTCCACTGTTGTTGTGGGCCGAGGAACAATTTCCTCTGTTGCTGTGGGCCGCGGAACAATTTCCACTGTTGTTGTGGATCGAGGAACAATTTCCACTGTTGTTGTGGGTCGTGGAACAATTTCAACTGTTGTTGTGGGTCGTGGAACAAATTCCACTGTTGTTGTGGATCGTGGAACAATTTCCACTGTTGCTGTGGGTCGTGGAACAATATCCACTGTTGTTGTGGGTCGTGGAACAATTTCCACTGTTTATGTGGATCGTGGAACAATTTCCACTGTTGTTGTGGGCCGCGGAACAATTTCCACTTTGTGGGCCGCGGAACAATTTCCACTGTTGTTGTGGGCCGAGGAACAATTTCCTCTGTTGTTGTGAGCCGAGGAACAATTTCCACTGTTGTTGTGGATCGTGGAACAATTTCCACTGTTGTTGTGGATCGTGGAACAATTTCCACTGTTGTAGTGGGCTGCGAAACAATTTCCACTTTTGTTGTGGGCCGCGGAACAATTTCCACTGTTGTAGTGGGCTGCATAACAATTTCCTCTGTTGTTGTGGATCGTGGAACTATTTCCACTGTTGTTGTGGGTCGTGAAACACTTTCCACTGTTGTTGTGGATCGTGGAACAATTTCCACTGTTGTTGTGGGTCGTGGAACAAATTCCACTGTTGTTGTGGGTCGTGGAACAATTTCCACTGTTGTTGTTGGTCGTGGAACAAATTCCTCTGTTGTTGTAGGTCGTGGAACAATTGCCACTGTTGTTGTGGATCGCGGAACAATTTCCACTGTTGTTGTGGGCCGAGGAACAATTTCCTCTGTTGCTGTGGGCCGAGGAACAATTTCCACAGTTGTTGTGGATCGAGGAACAATTTCCACTGTTGTTGTGGGTCGCGGAACAAATTCTACTGTTGTTGTGGGTCGTGGAACAATTTCCACTGTTGTTGTGGGTCGTGGAACAAATTCCACTGTTGTTGTGGGTCATGGAACAATTGCCACTGTTGTTGTGGATCGCGGAACAATTTCCACTGTTGTTGTGGGCCGAGGAACAATTTCCTCTGTTGCTGTGGGCCGAGGAACAATTTCCACAGTTGTTGTGGATCGAGGAACAATTTCCACTGTTGTTGTGGGTCGTGGAACAATTTCCACTGTTGCTGTGGGTCGAGGAACAAATTCCACTGTTGTTGTGGATCGTGGAACAATTTCCACTGTTGCTGTGGGTCGTGGAACAATATCCACTGTTGTTGTGGGTCGTGGAACAATTTCCACTGTTTATGTGGATCGTGGAACAATTTCCACTGTTGTTGTGGGCCGCGGAACAATTTCCACTTTGTGGGCCGCGGACCAATTTCCACTGTTGTTGTGGGCCGAGGAACAATTTCCTCTGTTGTTGTGAGCCGAGGAACAATTTCCACTGTTGTTGTGGATCGTGGAACAATTTCCACTGTTGTTGTGGATCGTGGAACAATTTCCACTGTTGTAGTGGGCTGCGAAACAATTTCCACTTTTGTTGTGGGCCGCGGAACAATTTCCACTGTTGTAGTGGGCTGCATAACAATTTCCTCTGTTGTTGTGGATCGTGGAACTATTTCCACTGTTGTTGTGGGTCGTGAAACACTTTTCACTGTTGTTGTGGATCGTGGAACAATTTCCACTGTTGTTGTGGGTCGTGGAACAATTTCCACTGTTGTTGTGGGACGTGGAACAATTTCAACTGTTGTTGTGGGTCGTGGAACAATTTCCACTGTTGTGGGCTGCATGTGTCAACAGTTTGAGGAACACTGTCAGAGTCTTTAGACCACTATAGGGCAGAGGTTCTCAACGTCTGAGTAGCGACCCTTTTCTGGGATCGAACGACTCTCCCACAGACCATCGGAAAACACATATTCACTGAAGTTATAAAGTAGCAACGAAAATAGTTGTATGGCTGGGGGATAACAACAACACACGGAACTGTGTTAAAAGGTGGCACCATTAGGAAGTTTGAGAGCTACTGCTACACAGCATGTTCATTATGGAACTAATTTTTTAGGGGAGTTAATGGCAACATTTCTTTTTTCATTGAGTTATTCCTCTTTAGTTAAAAAAATGCAGACGTACAAATAGCAGCTACAGCAGAAGCAGCAGCAGCAGCAGCAGAAGAAGAAGAAGAAGAAGAAGAAGAAGAAGAAGAAGAAGAAGAAGAAGAAGAAGAAGAAGAAGAAGAAGAAGAAGAAGAAGAAGAAGAAGAAGAAGAAGAAGAAGAAGAAGAAGAAGAAGAAGAAGAAGAAGAAAAAGAATTTGGAGAAGAAGAAACAAGAGGAAGATGTACATTCACTACCAAAATGAAGATATGAGTTGTGTCGTATTGGATTACATCTGTAAAATGGATGGGAAAAGGAGGGGGGGGGGAGACTTACACACACCTTTATATATATATATATGTATATACATGGGTGTGTGTGTGTGTATGTGTATGTATGTGACTATGTGTTTTCAACAGTAAAATGCAGGAGGGGGAAAAAACCCGCACAGAACCACGATTCAACGCCATCATGGCAAGAGAAGGCACTGGCACGCAACCAAGTCATTGCTCTCAGGTCTGGTCTTTGACTGAATAAAGCTTAATCTAGATCTGCTCTGTCGGGGATTCATTCTACCCTGCGGCGGGAATCGCAGAGAGAGAAAGAGAGAAAAAAAACTGCAATCAAAGTTTTTTAGATTGTGATTAAACGTGACTAAACGTACACAAGTTTCGTGTCATGGAGATAAATGATTTGTTAATTAGATAATACAGTTTTTTCAAACAAATAACACATCACCCTTGTATTACTCTTAGTTAATTGACATTTTACTTTTCCAACGGTTTTTGCTGCTTGACTGACTTTTTACCCCACTAGGACATCACACTAAGCAATAAACAGCCGGGGACGCAAAGTGCCACCATTCGGATGAGGATCACCAGTGGACAGGTCCTAGAAGCCCCGTCCAATCGTTAGGTTACATTAGGGCCTCCGACAACAAAAAGGATCAAGGTTAGTTGCGTATCCTTTTACAGGACGTTGCAGAACAGCCCCTGGCTGTTGTGTGGTTTTTCTAGGCAAATTTACGCCCAGCAGTTTGCCATTGCTTCTGGACAGTCAGCTTTCTTGATACCACTGTCGAAACCAAAGCAAGGCGCATGGCCCGCAGCTGGGATCGAACCCGGCATCCCGGCCTTACGAAGCGTTCGTATCGACTTAGCCACAGAGCCGACAACAAAAAGGATGGGGCATCTAAATAACGAAATATTCGTCATATGTGGGGACGGAGGGTAATAAGGTTTTTGCTTCTGTTATGGGTACATATATACGGTGCAACATTCTTCTTGAGATTGTTCCGAGAGTCGACAAGCTAAAGACACAGCGTGCGTTTCACTGGGGCTATGGCCAGAAGGTAATCAGCAACTTGTGCATACCCAGAGAGGAGTCTAGCTTGTCATAACAAGTGGTATTTCTGCCTGCTCATTTCCCAACACACGGGCATAACCTGGAACGAATATCCAAAGGATACTAACTACCGTGGACCCCTGAAGTGATGCTTGCCACTCTGCACAGAGCATACCTGTCTCCACCTTTCCCAGCATGCTCTGTGAGTCAGTGACAACGGCATGTGTGTACATCTGATTCTCAAGCCAGCGGAAGGCAACAGTGACTGTCTCCACCTTCATTCTTAAACAAGACGTTGTGATATAATATGCCTTTGGTATAGACCCCTTTGCACTGCGTCTGCCCCTCAACACAGAGCCATCTGTATAGATAATCACATCACCTGGGTGGGAATTGTCATGAATCATTTGTTGAACTGATTCTGTAGCGCCTGCTGGCCAGTCCCTGCCTATGCTTCATCATGGGGCAGTATAACACTATCACCTGAAAAGACAGAAAGGTGCTAATCAGTGGCAGTCAATGGCCTGTGCGGAGCAGGAGACGTATCTAGGGTATTTGTCCCCCATGTTTGGGGTGGGGGAAAGATGAAGTTTGAAAAATCTTGTAACTAGGGCTATACCGAATATTCGCTTCGTATTCGCTTCGGGGCCGAATAGTAGACCTCATAACTATTCGGTATTCGGCCGAATAGTTGCGGTCGGGCCGAATACGAATAGTGGTTACCTTACACCCGTTTCTCGACTGGTGGAAAATGAACATATCAAGATTTCCCACCTTGGTTCTTACTGTCAAGCGTTACTTTGTGCACCACCTACGAGCGTACCAAGTGAACGTCTGTTTAGTACAGCTGGAAATACCTTCAGTGAGACAAGAAGCTGCCTTAATGCTGACAACATGGAACGATAAGCTAATGCCGCTTTCATGGATTAATTAAGCTGTCCGTGACAATTTACAAATTTTGTTACTTGTTATAAAACTAGGAATATTTTCATTTTTAGGTATTAGTTACCACAGACCCACTGACTGAAGGATGCTAAACATGAAATGTTTTAAAATGTTTACTATTCTGCATTACATTTTGTGAAGTAAAATTTCAGCGTACATTTTACATTATGGGTGTTTTTTTTTAAAATTTTTTAAGATCTATTTTATATAGGAAAGTAGAAAAATGGACCTTAGTCTGAATAGTGGGAAGACAGAAGTAATGTTGGTATCAAAGAAAATAATTATTCCTAAATGTGTAATAAAAGTCAATGGTTTTATTTTAAGACATGTACAGAAATTTATGTATCTGGGCACATGGGTAACATCAGATGGAAGATGCATTACTGAAATAAGAAACATTATAGGACAGGCAAAAACTGCATTTTATAAAACGAAGAACATCTTATGCAATATATCTTTGTCATTGAAGGTTAGAAAAAGAATTCTTGCTTGCTACATATATCCAGTTTTAACATATAGCTGTGAATCCTGGACAATCGGAAGCAGGCCAAATAATTTCTTGAGGCCTCAGAGATGTGGTTTTACCGAAAAATACTTAAAATACCTTGGACAACCACACAAAAAAGCAACCAAGAGGTTTTGATAGAGGCGGGAGCGCGAAGACAACTACTCACAGACATCAGAAGGAGACAGTCATAATTTTTCGGCCATGTTATAAGATAAGGGAAAATGGAACATGTGGTGACCACTGGAAAGATCTGTGGAAGGAGTGATAGAGGAAGACAACAGGTGAAACTTCTTGAGTTTTGTTGCATGGCATGGAGGTGTGTCAGCACACGAACTAACACATGTTGCAGGAGATAGCAGATTGTGGCGAGGCATAATCGCACATGCCAGTCGGCAAAGCACCTGATGATGATGATTTACTATTCGTATTCGGCCGAATAGTTGGTCCGGCTATTCGTATTCGGCCGAATAGTGAAAATCACTATTTGGTACAGCCCTACTTGTAACTAACAATAGCCAATACTTAGTTTTCTCGGTGCTTCTAAGCAGTATTTATATTTGAGCAAAGAAGCCGCTAACAATAGATTGCATAATTTAATACCTGGTAAATTTCACTGTATTACGACAGGTGCATACTACAGTAACAGTTGATTAACATAAAAAATTTTTTTAAACCTTTAAACTGAAACACAAAATCGACCACATTCACATTTAGTCTGTTTGACTAAAGTGACGAGCATTTCCTTCTGTTGGCATAATTCTGGATTAAACTGACTGGTCGTTGAGGCTTCTGTATCGCAGTAATCTTCGGCTATTTATATTAATTCATTTGAATGTCAGGGTGAATGTTTATATTTGTTTAGGGGATGCTTCTCTTTTAAAATGCTTTAACAAAAATGAAACTCAAGTTGGTCTCTCTAGATGACCTTCCGCTACTGTAATGAGAAAATTTGTTTTATTTTGGCCCCGCCCTCTAAGTGGCGACCAGGGCATCTGCCTTACATGTTTAGTCTTAGTCTTAGTCCAAATCGAGGTTTTAACATCACCACAATCGGGTTTCCCCATACTTGCTCCATTCATGTGCCAGTAACAAAAGCAAATAAAAATGTCTCTCATTGTCTCACTTAAAAAACTGGCGAAGAAACATTTAGACCTGGAACAATCCAGAAATATGCGCACGCAGGAAATGCATATGGCATTTGCGAGAGGAGACAAAGTCAACAGTCGCCCGTCGTTGATGGAAGAAGTAGTCGGCCTCGATAAGTTGGCTTTACACACGCATAATTATTACATATGGTATTTCACCAGCTCACACGAAAAAGGGCTACCGGCCATATTGAAATGAATACAACGACATCATCCCTGTACACATGAAAAGCATCCCACATGAAAAACACAGCTCACAGGGCTGCACCAAGCACTAAACTCAGTAGCGAAAC